TGCCAAAAAAGCAAATATGATTCTAGGTTGTATCAACAGGTGTGTTGTAAGCAAAACTCGTGAAGTCATTCTGCCGCTCTACTCTGCACTAGTTAAGCCTCAGCTGGAGTACTGTGTCCAGTTCTGGGCGCCACATTTCAAGAAAGATGTGGAGAAATTGGAAAGGGTACAGAGAAGAGCGACAAGAATGATTAAAGGTCTAGAGAACATGACCTATGAAGCCAGGCTTCATGAACTGGGCTTGTTTAGTTTGGAAAAAAGAAGATTAAGGGGGGACATGATAGCGGGTTTCAAATATCTAAAAGGGTGTCACAAGGAGGAAGGAGAAAATTTGTTCCTCTTGGTTTCTGAGGACAGGACAAGGAGTAATGGGCTTAAAGTGCAGCAGGGGCGGTTTAGATTGGACATTAGGAAAAAATTCCTAACTGTCAGGGTGGTCAAATATTGGAATAAATTGCCAAGGGAGGTGGTGGAATCTCCCTCTCTGGAGATAATTAAGAACAGGTTAGATAGAGATCTGTCAGGGATGGTGTAGGTGGAGCTTGGTCCTGCCTTGAGGGCGGGGGGCTGGACTCGATGACCTCTTGAGGTCCCTTCTAGTCCTATTATTCTATGATTCTATGATTCTATGATAACCTGTTTGGGTTTCGAGAGCTCGATTTTCATAACTTCTCGTCAGTGCAAGGGGTGGCACAGGCTGGCACACAGGAAAAGCTGGAGTGTCTAGGACAGGAGTGGGGAATCTTTTTTGAGTTGGGGGCCACTGACCCAGAGAAAAATCAGTCACAAGTGAGAAGGAAAAAAAAAAAAAAAAAAAAAAAAAAAAAAAAAATCCTCACAGACGTGGCCCCAAACTGAAAAGGAGAAAGACTCTCCCCACATTCCTCTCATACACCAGAGCCTAGGCAGACCCAGGCTACTACATTCTGTGTGCTCCAGCCCAGTTGTGGGGCAGAAGGGGGGCTGGAGTACCAGTGTGGGGCGGAGGAGCTGAGCCTTGGGGGCTGTATCCAAGCAAGTCGGGGGCCAGACCTGAGAGTTTCCACCCTTGGTCTAGGGGATTGATTGTGAGACTTCTTGCTGGCCAGTGTGGCGGACAGAAGTGCTCTGGGTGACTGGTTTGGTGCCTTATAATGAAGGACCCCAGGCTTGGGCTGTAAACAGCCCTGTCTCTAAGCAACTCACCCTGTTTTGACCCTCTCGGCAGTGACCCCGGAACCCGTCATATTACAGCATGCGGAAGTCCTGCAGCTACTGCTCGTCATCCCGTACCCCCCTTAACAATGTGGCCCTACCAGCCGGTGCTTGTTTCCTGTGTCATGGTAACACATAAGATGTGAGGCGTTTGTGATGCTCACAACAACAGGATACAGCAGAGCGGGGTCCATGCTTTTCCTGCTATTGCAGCTGAAGAGGTATCCCAGGCTTGCCAAAAAAGGCACAGAAAAGACTTGCCTGGTTTGTCATTGATTTCAGGGAGGCAGGGAAGGAGGGAGGTAAGAGCGTGATGAGAGGCTAATGCCATGTTCCCATAATCACCTGCACCAATGTTTTGGTCCCATAAGGCACTGCAAGCCCAACCCAAAATTCAACATGGCTACTCATGCTGTGGAACAGCTACCCACAATGCAGTGCTCTCTGTAGCGACCCAAGTCCTGATAGTGAGGATGTATTCCACCAACGCAGTGAGTATAGTGTAGACACGCAAGATCGACCTGCTTAAATTGGAGGCTTGATGTCGACTGACACAAAGTCAACGTAACTTTGCAGTGTAGACACGGTCTCAGTGCAAACAGACAGCCACCCTGGTTTTGACAGAACTAGCTTGCAGAACGGAGACATCTCTGTGCTAAGGATGAAATGTTTACTCTAGGGCAAAGGGGGGAAAAGGCTAGAGTACCTAACAGAAGTAACGGTAGAAGATCATAGGATGGTGTGAATCACTCATGAGAGATTTGTTCACAGTTGAGAACTGGAAACTGCTTAAAATTTTCATATCGCCACATCAGGTACACGATACAGAGCTTGTGGGTCACAACGCACAGGAAGGGAAGAGAGAAACCAAAGATCTGTTAATTTGTGTGTGACTGGCATTTCCTCTTCCCTCCTGCTTAACTTCTGAGCCAAGGTATAGGAAGTTTCTGTCCTATGCACAGTAGAGCTGACAAGCTGATGAGAACAACTCTCATGTAACTTTTCCACGGGATTTCTCCAGATCTGTTCTACGAACCTAGACTGTTTCATAGACTCATAGACTCCAGGGTCAGAAGGGACCATTATGATCATCTAGTCTGACCCCCTGCACAGTGCAGGCCACAGAATCTCACCCACCTCTCCTAGAATAATCCTCTCACCTATATCTCAGATATTGAAGCCTTCAAATACTTTGAAGACCCCAAGATGCAGAGATCCTCTAGCTGTGATCTGTACCCCATGCTACAGAGGAAGGCGAAAAACCTCCAGGGCCTCTGCCAATCTACCCTGGAGGAAAATTCCTTCCCGACCCCAAATATGGCGATCAGCTAAACCCTGAGCATGTGGGCAAGACTCATCAGCCAGACACCCAGAAAGTTCTCTATAGTAACTCCTATCATCCCTCCATTGACCTATTTCCCACAGAAGGCAGAGGGTCAGGCCAGGTTCAGATGGGGGCAGCAAGAGGCCTTTGACATAAAATCATTGCTAGGAGATGGAATCATGCGATGACCTTCCATCTAGTCCAGCCCCAGGGCACTATGCAGAATTGTGTCCTAAACTATTTTTATTTTATTCCTAAACCATTTCCAGTGCTCTTTGCATCCATTGTCAAATGGCCCCAGAGATGTGGTTTCTACCTCTTCCCCTAGGAATCTGGCTGTAGACTGCTAGGTTTAAACAGGTACATGGGATGATCCAAGTGATAGGCATCGACTTCTCTTTGTTTTGGGGAGGGAAGATTCATTGATGTTGCCTCCTTTTATAGTAACTCTCTAAGTAATCACACTATTGGCTACTTCCTCAGGTGCTGAGCATTAGGGGCCTCTGTAAAGAATGGAAATATGAAATGAAAACCTCCAAACTGTCAGGGTGGTTGAGCACTGGAATAAATTGCCAAGAGAGGTTGTGGAATCTCCATCCCTGGAGATGTTTAAGAGCTGGTTAGACAGACACCTGTCAGGGATGGTCTGATAATACATAGCCCTGCTGTGAGGGCAAGGGATTGGAGTAGCAGCTCTCTCTAGGCCCCTTTCAGTCCTATGTTATTAATTTCTAGTTATCTTCAATGCCAATCAATACGATTTCTTGGGAACAGGGGTGAAAGGAAATGCTGGGACTTACTAGTACTCTGGGGTTCTTGGCAAGGTGTGTGAGGTGGAGGGCCTCTGGGCCTATAGAAGGGGTGGGGTTGGGGATGAGAAGCCCCCAGCCACCCTTCATGGATGTTGTTGCCATGGTGACCAGAAGCCACAGGGATGTTGCAGTAGCCGCAGCTTTTAAATCTCTGGGCTCCGGGGCAGTGACATTAAAAAGATTTAATGTCACTGGCCCGTCCCGGCTCACTTTCATCTCTGCTTGGAAACCAAGTTGTGTCAAGTGATTTAGTCTGATCGGTGGCTGAAAGAAACTTTTAAATCTCTGCGGGTAAATTTTGCAGAGGACACAACATTTGGGGCGGGGGGGTGACAAACAACAACTAGCAAAGGCAGGGCACTGATACAGTTATACGGCCCACAGGCCCTATCACATCACGTACAGTTTAATACAGTCCAACGCCAGGGTGTACATCTAGACCAGGGGCACGGAATCTGTACCCATGTCTATGGAACCAGAGAGACCATTCCTGGATGTGTAACAGGACCATGCGCAAGACACACACTTTACTCACAGTACTGCAGGCTGGGCGGGTGCTGCTTCAACCACACCACAAATCGAGTGTGGAAAGACACCTGACAACTAAATACCACTCAGGCCAGTGTCTTGAGGTGCAGCCCCCACTCCCGGCTGGGAGTGTCTAGACAAACTGCTCCGGTAGGGCCCTTCCAGCCACTTGGACCCTGTCCTGGCTCCTGGTTTGACACCCCGCTAGCAGGGGCCCTGCAGTGTCCGTGCTGCACCCGAAGGCTGGGCACCCGGGCCTAGGTGCTGGCAGGAGGGGTGCCCCTCCAATAGGAAGTGTTTTCCATAAATACAGGACTAGCGGATGTACCTGGTGTTGCCCAGGGCTGTAACTCAAGGAATGGGGGGGGGGGGTTGGACAATAAAAGGAAAATGTACGTGCTTTGTTTAAATGATTGTATTAAAATACGTTTGTATTAACAGAAGAATGAAAGTGACACAAATGATAGAGCTTCTTGGGAGACAAAAGGGCAGCGGGTGGAGGACTCAGGGCAGTAGGTTGGATGGGGGGAGCTCAGGGCAGGGGATGGGGGTGCAGGAGTCAGGCAGGAGGGTTGGACAATAAAAGGAAAATGTACGTGCTTTGTTTAAATGATTGTATTAAAATACGTTTGTATTAACAGAAGAATGAAAGTGACACAAATGATAGAGCTTCTTGGGAGACAAAAGGGCAGCGGGTGGAGGACTCAGGGCAGTAGGTTGGATGGGGGGAGCTCAGGGCAGGGGATGGGGGTGCAGGAGTCAGGCAGGACTTGGGGGCTCAGGGAGGGGGATGGGGATGGGCATTGGCTGTGGGCTGACGTCAGGGGGTGGGGTGCAAGAGTCAGGGCAGTGGCTGGGGGAACAGGGGTGGAAGGGTTAAAGGTGGGGGCTCAGATCAGGGGGCTAGAAGATCGGGGGGGCTTACCATCTATGTGCAGAATACATTTTGTTATGTGCACCGAGGCATATGCAGATGTGCACCCCCAGAAGCAACACATGCTGCCTGATGGGAAGCCTTTGAATCTCTCCTGGGTGGCCTCCCAAGTGCTCAGCTTACAGGAAACACGAGTCACAGTCCTGTCCACAGAGGGGGCGCACCCACACACTAGCAATGCTCTGAATCCCGGAAGCTGATTCTTTCCACCTCTGACACCAGGCATCACACAGCTTGGTCCAGGCTGTCTCGGAACCCTTGCGCCAGCTGACTCCGCCAGCCAGAGCAGTGTTCTGCACCCTCTCCCCAGCTATCTACAGAGATTCCAAAGGATACTAAGTCATCTCTGCCAGCATCCCAAAGCCTGCACAGAGTCTGCCTCTTTCTAGGCCCTTCGCGAGAATCAGACGACAGCCCACTCTCCGGGAGCCTGTAATCTGGCAGTTGCTCAAGGCGTCCAGCCACTAGAGTTTGCTCTTACTCATCAACGTTCCCATGAATAACACTCCAGCTGGACTTAACACTGCCACGGCCATCACCCTGTCTTCCCAGCTTATTGGAAGAATTTTATACACGCCTCTGGTAGGAAAGCTGTTTATTCATTTGCTGGCGTAAGTGGTTTGTGTTGCAGAGCCAGACAGGAGACGGGCTAAAGCACACATCTCCTCAATGCTGATTTTCACTGGCGCTGGCACTTTGTTATCATACCGGGCTCTGTTTTGCAAATGATCACAGTTCCTGACTGCCTTCGTCAATTGCACTCGTGAGCACAGCATCAGGATCTACAGGAGAGACAAGGTAGCAAATTGCTTGCTTTTTGACTCTGTACGGGCCTGATTCAAAGCCCATTAGCATCCAACTGCAGCAAGGGAGGTTTAGGTTGGGCATTAGGAAAAAGTTCCTAACTGTCAGGGTAGTCAAACACTGGAATAAATTGCCCAGGGAGGTTGTGGAATCTCCATCTCTGGAGATATTTAAGAGTAGGTTAGATAAATGTCTATCAGGGATGGTCGAGACAGTATTTGGTCCTGCCATGAGGGCAGGGGACTGAACTCGATGACCTCTCAAGGTCCCTTCCAGTCCTAATATTCTATGATTCTATGATTCAATGGGTGCATAGGAGGGCTTGCCGATGTTCCCTCTAATTTTTTCCACCCATATGCGGAATAAACTTTGTTCTGTGCACCGACACATGTGTGGATGTGCACCACCAGTAGAGACACACTGCTGGCTGTAGCCGCTCTGCAAGTCAGGCGGGTGACACTGGAATCTCTCCTGGGTGGCCACCCCAATGTTCCGCTTATGGAAAAGACGGGATCGTGCCCTCATTTCTTAAGTAAAACCCCATAATTCTGAAAGTGAAAGTCAGCAGGGAGGGTTCCTAGCTAAATTCAGGCAGTTTCCTGTGTTATAGACATTGCAGGTGAAGTACTACAACTTCAGGACACCGCTTGCTTGGCCTTCTGAGCCTCCTGGACAGTCAGGTATAGTGACCTCTTTAAATGCTTAAAAAACAATGCTTATTCTTCATTAATCTAATTACAGACACTTCTGTTGCACCTGTCTCTAGACAACAGGTTGCACTGTGGTTTAGAAAATGATACAAATGTTCTCGCCGTTACACCTGTCGGCACCTATGGAATTGAGGGGGGCTATGGGCAGTGAATCAGGCAGCTAACTGGGGGTCCCCAAGCCTGCCTCTCCTTCTTCTTCCAGCCTTTGTCTGCCGGGGATTGTAAGCTCTTTGGCTTACTGGGACAAGCTGCCCTATGTACAGCCCCTCGGGCCACAAACTGGGTTGGGCTCTCTAGGCGCTTTTGTTATACTGGAGTCTGGGGGTGCAGAGAATGAAAGGCCTAATATTTCCTGTTGCGTTGAGAGCTCTGCATTGTTCTGAAATTATAAACGCTTTTGGATGGGAGAAGCTGCAGAAATATTGTCATTTGCATGTAGAGAACATTTTTTAAAAACGGTTTATTTTGCTCATCTCTACATCATGAAAGATGCTGACCACAGCTTTTTCCATAGATGCAAATGGAACCCAAACACCTACTGGGTGTGAGGCACTGTCCCGTATAGCGGCACTGAGACCACTTACAGACAGAAGGAGGTTGCTCTACGACCTTACCTAAGCGCCAGCAGGCTTTGCACTCCAGCTATAGAGGCTCATGTGCTATGCTCCAAGAGGTCCCAGGTTCCGTTCTGCCTGTTGAGACCTGTTCACAAAATCAGGCAGCCTCTAAAGCAGAAAGTTTTCATCTCTTGCCAGGGGAACAGCTCTCTTTCCATCTAGCCCTACACCTAGCTGTTGCTTTAGGTACCTTAAATCCCAGAATCAGGCTTCCCCCAGGATTCACAAAGCCCCTGGATGCTGCAGGTGCCTGCATTTACTTGGCACCTACGTTTTTGCAGTAAACAATTCCCTAGGTGGCTATGTTTCTGCCTCTGAGCATGTGCACTGCAGCCCCATGCCAGCCTTCCCAGCATGGGTACACCTCCCCAGAGTTGCTCCTTCACCTAACTCACCTGTGTGGTCTGATCTGGCATGCCTGGGCCAATTGTGCAGGGCTCAGATTTGGGTCCAAAACATTCAGCATTGTCATTAATGTCTGGGACAACGGAGTGGAGAAAGACACTTCTCAAATGTATAGCAGCACCCAGCTGGGGGAGGGGGCAAACGTACTTTTCAGGATTAGAATTCAAAGGGAGCGTGACAAAGTGGAGAACTGGTCTGGAACCGACCAGATGAAATTCAGCAAAGACAAGGGCAAAGTATGTCGCTTTGGAAGCAAAACTCAAAGGCCTGGCTACAAACTGGGGGCTAAGTGGCGAGGGGGTTGTCGTACTGCTGAAGAGGATCTGGGGGTGAGGGTGGATTCCAAACTGAGTACAAGTCAACAGCATGAGGTAGTTGCAAACCCGGATAATATAATCCTGGGATATATTCCCTGGAACGTCAGGCCAGGGTGGGTGTTAGTCTCAGCCTTGGTGAGGCCGCAAGTGGATACTGTGCCTAGTTCTGGGGCCATACCTTAGGGGAGGGGTCTCCAACCTTTTTAACCACAAGATCACTTTTTCAGTTTAAATGCAATGTAGGATCTACCTCAAACCCAAATACCCTGGGCCCGCCTCCTTCCCGCCCCTTCTCTGAGGCCTCCCCCTGCTCGCTTCATTTCCCTTCCTCCCCCATCCTCACTCACTTTCACCAGGCTGGGGTAGGGAGTTGGGGTGCAGGCTCTGGTCTTGGGCCAAGGGGTTTGGAATGTGGGAGGGGCTCCAGGCTTAGTACAGGGTGGGGGGTTGGGGTTCAGGAGGGGTTTCAGGATGCTTGCTCTGGGGAGGAGTTTGGGTGCAGGGGGGAGGTTGGGGGTAGGAGGGCGTTCAGGTGGGGGGTTGGGGTTCAGGAGGGGTCTCAGGATGCTTGCTCTGGGGAGGAGTTTGGGTGCAGGGGGGAGGTTGGGGGTAGGAGGGCGTTCATGGCTGGGGCAGGGTTGAGGATGCAGACTCTGGCTGGGCATCATTTAACCGAGATGGCTTCTGGGTGGTGGAGCAGTGGGGTGAAGGCAGGCTTACTCCTGCCCTGGCCTTGCGCCACTCATGAAGCAGCTGGTATGTACAGCAATGGCTCCATGGTACCATGTGCTGCCCCACATCTACTGGCCACAGTTCCCCGATATTGATCAGTGGGAGCTGCAGGAGTGGTGTCTGCAGGCAGGGACAGCCTGTGGCCACATGTGCTCTGCCTCTCTCAGGGGGGTGCAGGGGCAAGCAATAAAAAAAGTAACAACTCCCCATGTATGTGTTGGGGCAGGAGATGAGAGTGAAGAGCAGTGTGTGTTTGTGAGAATGACAAAGTGTGTGAGTGTGACAGAGATTTGCATTGTCAAGTTCCCTCCATCCCCTTCACTCTATCTGGAGACAGGGTACAGAAGTGGAGGGAGGAGGGACACCCTGACATCTGTGCCCCCCCCAATTTCACCCTCCCACACCTTGCACAGCAAGCAGGAAGCTCCCCAGGGAGAGGGGGAGGCAGCTCCAAGGCAGAGGGCAGGAACAGCTGACCATGGGTGGAGAGGCAACCCAAGTGCCAAAGCTTGAGAGCTTCCAGGACAAACCAGTCGGGATCCCCTGTCAGAGGCTCCAAGATCTACTGGTAGATCCTGATCTACCGGTTAGGGAATATGTGCACACCCTGGAGAGAGTCCAAAGGAGAGCAGCAAAAATGATGAAAGGGTTCGAAAACTGGTCATAGAATCCTAGGGCTGGAAGAGACCTCAGGAGTCATCAAGTCCAGCCCCCTGCCCAAAGCAGGACCAACCCAACTCAATCATCCCAGCCAGGGCTTTGTCAAGCCGGGATGGAGATTCCAGCGTCTCCCTAGATCAACAGGACTGGACATGAAGTATGTTGTTGCTCGTCTCTAAGGCGCCACAGGACTTCTCGTTTTTAAGACTGGACGGCTACGTCTAGATTGCATCCCTTTTTCGTAAAAGGGATGCAAATTAGACATATCGCGATTGCTAATGAAGCGGGGATTTAAATCTTCCCCGCTTCATTAGCATAAAAATGGCTGCCGCTTTTTTTCGGCATGGAGCTTTGCTGGAAAAAAGCGCCAGTCTAGACGCGGATCTTTTGGAAAATAAAGCCTTTTCCGAAAGATCCCTTATCCCTTATTTTAAGAGGGGCAAAGCTCCGTGCCGAAAAAAAGCGGCAGCCATTTTTATGCTAATGAAGCGGGGGAGATTTAAATCCCCGCTTCATGAGCAATTGCGATACGTCTAATTTGCATCCCTTTTACAAAAAAGTAGCCAACATGTTTAGTGTTTGCGATACGTCTAATTTGCATCCCTTTTACAAAAAAGTAGCTAACATGTTTAGTGTTTAGAAAAAAAAGTGTGTGTGGGGGGGGGGAGACCCTGAGAGCTGCCCACATCCAGGTGTAGGGGCTTTATGAAAAGAACCAAGATCAATTGTTCTGCATGTCTGGAGAAGGTTGGCCAAGACCTAATGGCTCTACTCTCTCTCAGCCACCTGTTCTGTACACGCGCACCGCCCCCAAATCCATGCCACCGTTCATTCGCACACTCATCTCTCTCGGCTACATGCCCATGCCCACTCCCCTCCCCCACTGGTGTTCCACCCACCTGTTCTGTCCACACATCCTCCCACTTCCATGTTTCATATCCACTCACTCTGCATGCACCTCCATGCCAATACCCCGGCAAAGCTCAGCAGACCTGCCCCAGAGCCAATCCAGGGCAAACATCGTCTCAGGCCCTACCCCAGAGGAAGCACGGCATGTCCGTGTATTCAGTGGCAATCTCATCTCTGCCCCTTTCTTTTTCCGACTCCCTGTAAATCCCCCTGCACTCCCCACTCCTGGACCCAGCTCACTGCCCCGGAGCAAGACACTGCCACGTCCTAGTCGCTGTGTCACTGGCTGTCCCCCAGGATCCGTCTCCCAATTCCAGTGCCTGGCTCCCTTTCTTTGGCCAGAAAATCACCCCCAAAGACCCAGCTCTGCACTGCAGCCTCTAAACAAGGGATCAGGTCAGCATACCGGAGTGTGGGGGTTGGCAGGGCGTAGCTGTGGAGTCGATGCATGGAGGTAAAGGGTGTTGTGTGAGGGGTGTGTTGGTCTGTCTGTTGGTTGTCTCTGTGTGGCTGGGGTTTAGGGCAGTGACCAGCCTGTTTGTTTGTGTGTCTGTATGAGAAGATGTAAGGCTGGGACCCTGATGTCTAGGCCTGACCCTGATCTCTGATGGCCGAGCTGTTGATCAGGACGAAGCAGTGAGGACTAGGATATAAGGTGGTTAGTTGCCAAACAATCGTTTGACTTGTGTGAGGCACTGAACTATCGAGCTGTGTCATTATTTTAGACCCATTCCCAGCCCTGCCAGGCTTGGTTCTGTGTATTGTGAAGGTACCATATTTCCACCCCCCAGAATCCATTCGGGAAATGCGATCGGCATGGAGTGAAAGCCGGGTTTTCCCGACTAGTCCCCACCTCTCCAGCAGAGAACAGGATCCCAGGGCCCAACCCGCCTCTGGGAAAGACCAGTTCCTGCAAAGGGTGTTGCAGAGTGATTTGGTTTGGGTGCATACATTCCCCATGCCCCTCGGTTAACATTCCTGATGGATTCTCCTACAACCGCACAGGGGAAGTTGGAATCATGCTGAGGCCGCTGCTGATCCCAGTGATGTGTATCTGCCTTCCAACCTGGCTGGGAACTGCCCAGGTAAGCACCTGAGCCTTGCCAGGGAAGCAGGCTGTGTATTTGGGGTTTCTACTCAAGGCTGTATGAGAAGGGCTGGAAGGGCTCGCAACAGGTCATCTAGCCCCCTCCTTGCTGGGGCAGGACCAAGTGAGCCTCAACCAGCTGTGACAGGTGTTTGTCCAACCTGTTATAAACACCTCCAGTGATGAGGATTCACAGCCTCCCAGAGCTTAACTGCTCATACAGCTAGAAAGCTTTTCCCAATGTTCAAAAGTCAGCTCCTAGAGGTAGAGACCCCCTCTGAGTGTATTTGACCAGAGCTGAGCACAATGGGGTGTGACTCTAATCTAGTTGCTACTTGTTGTTAGTCTGTAGCTGCAAAACGGGAATGCAGGGGCAAGATTAGAAAGGCAAAGGCACAAAATGAGATCAAACTAGCTACAGGCATAAAGGGAAACAAGAAGACCTTTTATAAATACATTAAAAGCAAGAGGAAGACCAAGGACAGGGTAGGCCCACTGCTTAGTGAGGAGGGAGAAGCAGTAACAGGGAACTTGGAAATGGCGGAGATGCTCAATGACTTCTTTGTTTCGGTCTTCACCGAGAAGTCTGGAGGTGTGCCTAACATAGTGAATACAAGCAGAGAGAGGGTAAGTTTAGAAGATAGGATACACAAAGAACAAGTTAAAAATCACGTAGGAAAGTTAGATGTCAGCAAGTCACCAGGTCCTGATGAAATGCATCCCAGGATACTCAAGGAGCTGATAGAGGAGGTATCTGAGCCTTTAGCTATGATCTTTGAAAAATCATGGCAGACAGGGGAGATTCCAGAAGACTGGAAAAGGGCAAATATTGTGCCCATCTATAAAAAGGCCTTAAACTCATGTGACCCTTTGTTTCCTTAATTCTCCCAGGCTCAACATGTGCACAATCTGAGCATGGTGCCTGATGCTTTTGATGACCAGTATATTGGCTGCGTTGAAGTAATGGATGTAATTGCACCTGAGCTGCTAGAGGTGGAAATGTCCGACTCATCACTCTTTAGCATGGTGTGGAAAACAGCCATAGAAAAATGGAAAGATATGAAAACAAAGGTTTCTCTCCCCGGAGGCTTTGGGGATGAGCATGGACAGGCCATAATAGCCTATTCTGACAAATACAAATACAACAATGAAGTGTTTCAAAGAATATTTAATGAGGCTGTACGAGGGGCTGGGACATCTCAAGCTGATTACATGGCCAATTTCCAGTTTAAAGCCCTTCATTATTATTTGACAAGAGCCTTGCAGCTCTTACAAGGGAGGTGTGAGGTGACACACCACACGCCGGTGTACCAGCGGGTTTCTGACGCTGTGCATTGGAGCAAAGACGATCTCCTCAGGTTTGGCTATTTTGCCTCTTTGTCTATGAAGAAAGAAAAAGCTAAGCGCTTCGACACAGCGACTCTGTTCACCGTCCACACGTGCTTTGGTGTTCACATAAGGAGCTTCTCACACTTTCCAGACCATGAAGAAGTGTTAATCCCAGTCCATGAGATGTTCAGCGTGTTCCCAGGGACTAATAGTAGCAGCTACGTCCTCCGGAGCACAAACCGGACCTGCAGCCACTTTAACTGCGCGTACCTGGGCAGTGAGTACTGGGCTGAACAGGAGAAATATTGGGGGGGGGAGGGCTGTTTGCTGTGGGGAATTTAAAACCCCCAGGGAAGGGGTGCAGGGAGAGCTGATGAGAGGGATGCTCAGGTGGGTGGACACTGGGCCCCAAGCGCTCCCTGAGGACAGAGAAGGTGCCTAGACACCATAGCGAGAGGCTCACTAGAGACAGGGAAAGGCCCCAACCCGCTATGAGTTTTACACACACACACGCCCCCTGCAGGGCCTGGCAGAGCAGCTGTGTCTCCGCAGACAGGGTCCAGCCAAGCCGTAGGCTGCAGGCAGGGAGCAGGCAGTTGGCTTAGGGTATTCCTACACTGGGACACTATTTCAAAATAACTAGAATTGATTTAATAGCTCCCAAAATAACAAATAACAAAACAACAACATCGAAATAGCGTGTCCTCGCTACGGGGAACCCTCAAAATTAGTCTGAGGCAAACTCTGTTAATATGGATGCCCTACCTTGACCTAGAGCCTCAGGAAGCACTGGGGAGTAATTAGTTCAAATTACTCTGGGGAGTCGTTATTTCAAAATAGCAGCTCCGGCGCATCCACGCAACCGCTATTTCAAAGTAACTATTTTGAAATTAGTGTTATTCCCTGAGGAAAGCAGGAGTGCAGAGTTCGAAATTAGTGACCTCTTATTTCAAAATAACAGGGTTGGTAGTATAGAAGCTCTGCTTCTTAATTAGACCTAAGGGGGGCTATTTCGAAATAAACCTCTACCTACCATAAACCAGGGCTTAGTGTGCAGATGGCACATTATTTGGGGCAGACAGGTTTAGGGACGATGGTGAGGAACTTCCAAGAGATGTGACCAAGTTGGGCGAATGGACATCAGAACTTCACATCAGGTGAAATTCACTGATGCGCATTCAAGGTGCTGCCCATTGGAAGAAATAGCATTACTGGGTTGTTAATGAGCTGAGCCAACTCAGACAGAGACTGGGCCATCATGTTGGGAAGTTCAGTACCAATCTCAGTGAAACCTCTGCTCAGTGTGCTGCTAGGCCTATAAAATGTTAGCCAGCCTAAGGAGTAATGGGATGGAGAATAATGTAAAATATTTTAACACCATTATATGAATCAATGAGGTTCCCTTCTCTGAGATGCTGCATTTGGTTCTAAAACCCTTGTTCTCAGCGATTTAGCTAAGTGGGGGAAGAGATTAGAGAGTGTTGAAAATGATGAGAAGTCTGGTTTGATTTCTAAAGTTAAACCTGGAATGGTTTAATTAAGAGAAGGGACACATACAAGGAAGCATGGAGTACTAAATGAGACAGTGATGAATTACAATGGGCCACTTTCCCTTTCATATAAAATGAGAATTAACTGAAGGCAACGTATTGTAACTAGGAAAAGAAATTGGTAGGATCCAGTCTGACAATTCCCATGTTTCTTTGGAAATAGTAGAATGGAGTTGAATGGGCAGATTGTATTTCATTGACCTTCTCTGCTTGTACCGTAGAAAAGAAGAACCAAACATGCATTGACAACTCTGGTAAGAATGAAACGTTTTCTTTTGACACCGCCTTGCCCTCTGTATCAAAGTGCAGAGTGGAGAGCAACCTCATCAGGCAAACACGTCACATGAAACCAATTGAGAAACAAGCGGGGTTAGCTTCATGTAGTGTCAGTTGATCCATTTTCTTGTATGGACTTCATGACGAGTGTCTGAGTGGAAGGCCGGAGGGAACGAGTTCAGAGAAAAGTGTTGGAAACGATGTGGGGTCTGGAGAGCCCTCCAAAAGTGAGGCTGGAATGGTTTTATTAGGAGACGAGACCCACAAAAAGAAACACAATGGAGACGTTCAAAATAATACATGAGACAGTGACACATTTGGGGGGGCATTTTTCCTGTCTCATAAAACCAGACTAAACTGAAGACACCTGTCAGGGATTATCTTCTAGACAATACTTACTCCTTGCCATGAGTGCAGGGGACTGGACGAGGTGATGTCTTGAGGTCCCTTCTCCTGCCTCCTTCATCCAAACTCCCTCCCATACCCCACACCCTGTCCTGCACCCCAATCCCTTAACACAAGCTCCCTTCTGTAGTCAACCTCCATCCCAGACCCCACACCTCCTTCCATATCATGGAAGAGTGTGGCCCTCGACCACCTTCCAAATTCTTGGAGTGCCCCGCCACCATCAAACATTATTGCCCACTCCTGATCTAGACAATACTTAGTCCTGCCATGAGGGCAGGGACTGAACTAGATGTCCTCTTGAGGTCCTTTCAGTTCTATAACTGTATGAATCTATAATTTTAAGTCATAAAGCAGACTGCCCAGTTATATAAAATACAGGGTTAACTTGTGGAACTCATTGTCACAAGGTTTCCATCAGGCCAAGAGCTCAACAGAATTTAAAAAAGAAGTAGCCATTTGTACAGACTGTGAGAATCTCCACAGTTATGTTATATAGCTTCACACAATGCACAGTCAATCTGTGGAACTCCTTGCCAGAGGAAGTTGTGAAGGCTAGGACTTTAACAGAGTTCAAAAAAGAGCACGATAAATTCATGGAGGATAGGTCCATCAATGCTTATTAGCCAGGATGAGTAGGGAGCGGTGTCCCTAGCCTCTGTTTGTCAGAGGCTGGGAATGGATGACGGGGGAGGGATCACTTGAGGATTCCCTGTTCTGTTCACTCCCTCTGGGACATCTGGCATTAGCCACTGGGGGAACACAGGACACTGGGCAGCCATTTTGAATTATGTTGTTGTCCACGACATACCTCTGACTGCTTTAAGAAACACTGTTCTAGAAGCTGTTGAGAAGGTACCATTGTCCTGCTTTAAGGAGCTCTGTCCACATGGAATTATTTCCTATCCATTGTTTGATCTGCTCTTTCTCACTGACAACTCCCACAGGAGGCGTCGCCTTCCCCAGAGAGATGAGCCCTTCGCTGTTTGGAGGTTCCGTCATCCTGACCCATGTTGCTGCTCTGAAGCTGTTTGCTGGGTTCTAACTTTCCCTGTGTGCGTGGTTCATTTTTTCCCCCCCTCTAACACAAATCACGGGGATGAGACTTGCCAGAGCCAAAGCCGTCCGGCTCTCCTGCCAGCGTTTCAAAGGGAAACCAGGAACAGGGATGGAGTTTCCCATCAAAATGGGAGTTCTGTTCCGGAGGGGATTTGTCGTACGATGGTAGAGCAATAAATGGGTGCACATTAGAGAACAGTTTCTTGTAGTTCAGTTCTGCCACCACTATCGTACCAATGTTGATGACATCAATAAAAGCTGATTAGCCGAGTGCCTACAGCTAGGTTTAGTTTCTATTGGTGGTGCACATTCGCACGTGCCTCGATGCACATCAAAATATTCCACACATGGATGGAAAAGATTAGAGGGAACACTGGTATCTGGAATCCCAGAAAATGATGGGGGTGGCAGTTGTGACGGTGAAGCTCGCGCCTGCCCCTTCTTTCAGTCAGGCGGCGGCGTGGTAGCCAGCCTATCCCCGGCACGCCTGGTGGTGAGTGGAATTGGGTCATCCCATCATCACTTGGGCCATGAACTAAGCCTAATTTACCACACACTGAGTCAGGTTCATTCATTTCCAGTACTTGTTTACTAGGCATGATCCTAACAAAGACCTTGAATTAGAGCAGGAGCAGCCGGGCCAATAGCCACCGCAAGTCCCGGGGCAAGGCGTGAGGGAAGGGCAGTTCCACACCTCTAGAAGGGGAGGGGCCAAGCGCAGCCAGCCCCTTGTGCCACCCAGACTGCAGCGTCCTCCCCCCGACCCCAACCACTCCAGCCTTCAGAGCTGCATGGAGCAGCGCTCAGACGCTCCTGTGACAACACAAAGGGATCCGGAGCTCAGCCACTGCCTATGCTGCAGAAACAGAGGCAGCCGGGGCCTCTGGGCCCCTTTGAATCTCTGGGCCCCAGGGACAGAGCTCCCTTTGTCCCTCCCTGTGGACAGGCCTGAGCAGGACACCTTTTTTGTGTGCATTAATTCACTGGGCATGCCTTTTGTACCCTTTCCCATTGACA